GTACATTCCTGCAATTTACAACATTGGTTTACTAAAACAGTCTAGGTTGTGGTTTTTTTTCAAACTCACCAAATGGTTTAGCAACTCCAGACATAATCTTGAAGTACTATGATAATAGTTTTTGAGCTTAACTTTTTTCATTGCAACAATTTTGATACTAAACCATTAAAATCTTTGTTACAACAACATTATTCAATACGTGGAGAACGGTAAGAACAGTGATGATCTCACATATTATAATTATTTACTTAGATACTTAGATGTTTGCTTCAATCGTCGTGCGGGCCTCAGCATTGTTTCCATCCGTTTCTGTCTCTCGCTAGCGTCATCCACGAGTTTGCTATTAAACTGCGGCGACGACGTTCGCAAGGTCCAGTTCCATTACTCATTACCAGCTGAGAATTCAGCTGATCCATCCGTGCAACGAACACGTCAGCCGATCTGGTCGGCGGCCTCCCTCGAGGACGTTTGCGTCGTGAGGAATCAATCACAGAGTTTTTAGTGTCCATCTGTCGTCTTTCCTTCTCATAATATGACCAGCCCATCGGTGTTTTGCCTTAGAGATGTACTCCGCTGGATCGCGAAGACGAAATCGAGACATCGATCTCATATCTAAACTGCGAAGTCAGACGAGACGCTGAGTGTGTCAGTTGTACTTCAGAAGGCGTCGTTCCAGCGCTCTGTGGGTTGTTCGGAGTGCTTTCGACGTAGCGCAGTGTCAGGTCAGTGTCTCCGTAACAGAGCGCAGGGAGAACTGTCAAATCGAACCAGTAAGCGTGGAACGCTGGGTCCGTCCGTTTGCCTGCTTCCTTTAGGGGTTAAGGCGGCTCAAGCTGCTCCTCGCCTACTGTTTAGTACTTTCTTTAAATAGTTTACCCTGTTCATTGAACTTCCGAGATATACGTGAGAAGACGTCTTCGCGATTGGAGAGCCTTTCAATTCCACTTCCTGATCCTCGCAAAAAGCGTTCTCCATGCTTTTTCCGCTTAATTCGCCGTCCTTTTCGCTTCCCTACCTCGCTTAGTTCTTCAAACATTGCCTCCGCTTCAGTTATATTCTTCGAGAAGAGAACAATGTTATCCGCAAAACAAAGGTTCGAGAGAAATCTCCCGTCAAATTGTATTCCTCTTTCGTTCCAATCCAATGATTTTATCATCCACTGCAAGGCGGCGGTAACAGCTTGGCTAAAAAAAAACTATGGCGCTTTGTCGAACCCCCTTCGAAATTGGTATGTCCAGGGGAGGGGGATAGAAAAGGTTTACCGTTGTGTACCAGCCAATGTCGTCACGTAAGATGGGTCCACTCCTTGGTC